AGCCTTGGTCATTGCAATCAACATCCCACCCGGCCCTCTTGAAAACTGCTTGGGAAAACAGGTGGTGGAAAATTATGTGTAAAGAGACTGGATTTGTACACATACATTCACTGTAAATTTAAACGAGTACCACAAAAAGTATTAATAGAATTATTACAAATCTGTACTGATTAGGCAATACACCTGTCACTGTGTCACAATAATAATGTAATTTTCAGGTCAAATATATATTCACACTGGATAAAAACAAAACAAATAAATGTAAATAATTAAAAAAAAAAATTAATTTAAAAAATACAGTACTGATTAGGCACTATATCTGCTAAAGGAATAAGTCACTGTGTCACAACAATTCCATTTTCAGGTTTAATATATATTCACACTGGATTAAAATAAACAATTAAATATAAATAAAAAACAAATAAACAAAAAATTATTAAAATAAAAAATATATATATATATATACAATACTAATTGCATATTGATTAATCAGATGGCATAAAAACTGTGACTAATACATGTCTAGTCTAATCCTGTACATATTATATTTTTTGTATCTGACTAGTGTAAAAGAGGAAACATAATTTGCTGAAATATATTATAAAGCTTGGCATTGTTTTGTGAAGCAGCCTGTCAAGGTCTTTATCTAAAACAAAAATAAGTGCATGCATTCTCTCCTTTCTCTTTACCCAACAGGACCATTTGAAGTCACATGTTTTGCCCCGAGCCCTTGAATCCCTGCAAGGCATAGCCTTCGGCGTGTACACCAGAGAGCTGTACAAGGCAGGAAATTTCAAAGCGTTCGCTCTCCCTTTAATAATGCATCAACGCGGTCTGCAGTGTTAGACTTCTTACTGAACAGCAAATAAACAAACGGCGTCACCATTTTTCCTCTGCTGGACTTTGCAGCTTTAGTATATGCAGTGATTGAAGTTAGTCATCTGGAGAACAATTAAGAAAATTACTTTTTTTCAGTGTTACAGTTTATTTTATATATATATTTGTTGCTAAAATACATAGCTATAGCCATGCAGAGCATCTGAATGCCAGTGCTGCTTAGTATTGTATTTTTATTTGTATTTATTTATTTATTTTACTGTTTAACCTCTGGCTTTACTCCTTTGGACCCTGAGACCAGATATGTTTCCAGCTGAGTTTGATGTGCCTGTTTGCCACTTCCATCTTGTAAGTGTGCCTTATAATAAAGTGTGTTATTTTATCAAGATACTCTGCACTATTATTTCATTTTTTCTTCCTATGCATGCAATTGATGTTCCTAAAGTCCAGAAGTTATTACATCGTTTTCCATGATATGCTTTCAATCAATTTGGGTTTGTGAGTGTGATTATTTATTACTCACATTCTGCAGCATTATTGCCCTATGTCCATCTCTATTTCTTTTGTATTGTAGGTTGCCTTTGGGTATTTTTGTTTATATTGTCTTGAGGACCTAAGAGGAGTCCTTCCATCTACAATACTATTAACCCCTTGACGACCGATGACGGTTCACGGCCATCATTGGAAACATCCCCTTGAGGACCGATGACGGTCCTGAAACATCATAACGTCTTGGGGTACTTACCTGATGAGCGTTCCTCACGGTCCAGGGAGACTGCCTGTCTGCACAGACAGTCTCCCCGCGGCAGATCAGGACCCCGCGGCCACGTGATCACTTGATCACGTGGCCGCAATAGGTGCCTGTGTATCTGCCTGCAGGGGGACTGTCTGTGCTGACAGGCAGTCTCCTTGCAAGTGGAAAATCCTAAAATAAAGTTAAACAAAAAAATCAATTGGTGTAAAAAAAAAAATGTGTGTATATATAAGATATATATATATATATACATGTATTATATCTATATATAATATGTATATATATCTTATATATATAATATATACAATAACTATATATATTGTGTGTGTATATATATATATATATATATATATATATATATATCTATAATTATAAAATATAAATAACAAGTATATAAAAATAAATTAAAAAATGTAAAAAATTTTAATAATTTAAAAAAAAATCATATTTAAATATGTAATTTTATTCTAACGGTATTTAGATATTAATATATATATATATATATATATTTATATCAAAATACACTTAGATGAAATGAGATATATATATATATATATATATATCTATCTATGTATAAACTAATAAATAAAAATAATACGAAATATACATATGTCCATATACATAATTACATAAATAATTTCATAAATATACACGAAGACTTCAAATATATAAATATATATATATATTTAAATTCTACGTGCATATTTATGTAATATTATTACATAATTAATTAATTTTATTGATTGCAATTTTAGGGACATGCCTGAGAACCCAGGCCGTAAGCCCAGAGAATTTAATTTGCTAGCACTGTGTTTAACCCTGTAACTTTCTATGACACCCTAAAACCTGTACATGGGGGGTACTGTTTTACTCTGGAGACTTCGCTGAACACAAATATTAGTCTTTCAAAACAGTAAAACATATCACAGTAATGATATGGTCAGTGAAAGTGACTTTTTTGCATTTTTCACACACAAACAGCACTTTCACTGTTGATATTATTGCTGTGATAGATTTTACTGTTCTGAAACACTATTATTTGTGTTCAGCGAAGTCTCCTGAGTATAACAGTACCCCACATGTAGAGGTTTTATATTGTTTTTGAATGTTACAGGGTCAAATATAAGGCTTGATTTTACTTTTTTTTTTTTATTGAAATTTGTCGGATTGGTAATGTTGCCTTTAAGAGCGTATGGTAGCCCAGGAATGAGAATTACCCCCATGATGGCATACCATTTGCAAAAGAAGACAACCCAAGGTATTGCAAATGGGGTTTCAGACTTTTTTAGTAGCCACTTAGTCACAGACACTGGCCAAAATTGGCGTTTTTTGCATTTTTAACACACAAACAAATATAAATGCTAACTTTGGCCAGTGTTTGTGACTAAGTGGCTACTAAAAAAGACTGAACATACCCCATATTGAATACCCTGGGTTGTCTACTTTAAAAAAATATGTACATGTGGGGTGTGATTCTGGGATTTATGACCGATAACAGTGTTACAATGTCACTATTGATAAATGTAAAATATATATATATATATTAAAAGAGCAATTTCCTACTTGTACTTATAGCCCTATAACTTGCAAAAAAAAAAAAAGCAAAAAAGCATGTAAACACTGGGTGTTTTTAAACTCAGGACAAAAATTTGAATCTATTTACCAGTTTTTTTCATTAGCTTTTGTAGATAATTAAAAGATTTTTCAAGTAAAAGTCCAAAAACATGTTTTTCACCATATTTTTTTTATTTTTTATTTTTTAAAGTAAAATATATGACATGATACAAATAATGGTATGTAAATAAAGCCCTTCTTGTCCTGAAAAAAACAATATATAATTTGTATGGGAACCGTAAATGAGAGAGCGGAAAATTACAGCTAAACACAAACACCACAAAAGTGTTAAAACCGCTCTGGTCCTTAACGTACAACATTGCAAAAACAGGCCGGTCCTTAAGGGGTTAATTAGGGGTAATTGTTGTGATTTTTTTTACCTATTACCAATTAAGTGTGTTTTCTTTCTGCACACAGGTGTATTTGTACTTATTATTGTTTGTTATCTATCTTTTTTCCCCTCTATTCCACAAATCCACCGTTTATTATTTTCCTTGTAAAGGTGTCATGAGCATGTTTTTAGATCTAAGGGAGCTAAGGGAAGCTAAGCTCCAGTCCCTATTTAATAATAACAACATAACAAATCAAGAGAATAATGCCACCATAGATGACTATTTCTTTAAATTAAAAAAACTATCATTCAGAGAAACGAAGAAATGGTGGGAAATATCCTTCTTGGAGTCATATCTCAAAGAGGGACTGATTCCAAGAGGTTTAAGATTAGATAAAGGACCAGCGAATGGATTAGAAAAATCAAAATATATTGAATGGTGGGATGTGGCACTGGAAAGATGCTCTTTGACACTTATGGAAATTATTATCGATTTTGAAAGAGACAATCTAAGTATGGTTTCTAATTAAATGGGGAAATTAGCTGAAATAAATACCTTTGATAGGGATACCTCTGATTTTAAAAGGAAAGAAAAAGTTATCTTTGAAAGAATAGAGAAACTTGGCGATAATATCGCACAAACTAAAAACAAGAAATATCTAACGGTTAAAAAAGATAAAGCTAATAACATCCATTCAACACTAAACAAAATCGATAGAAAATTCAGATATAAAGAAAATGGTAGATCAAATAATAGAAATACAAAATAGAGAAGGACCAATACAGAGAAAGGGTGACCATTTGGGGGTTAAACCCAAATGGACTACACCTTTATGTAATCAAACTAACTCTAAGAAATGGAATGAGAGTTCAACTCATCTGCACCCTATTCCTAGATATCAAAGGGACGTACCCTCCAATGAGGTGAATGTCACCCGAACTCTGGTCCAAGACTTTCGTTCCGATAGGGATTTTTAGGGAAGGGGCAAGACCGAAGGAAGGGAGAAATCACGGAATTCTTCCTCCCCAGGTCTCAGGAATTACCGCTAACCAATGGTTTTGCACCTCTCAGAGAACTAAATACCCCAGGGAAAAAGAGGAGACTGGGTGGGAAGAGAGCGGAAGTCTAACTCTAACTAAAACACAAGAAGAAAATGTAGGAGTTTTTTAATATTTCTGGATTCCACCTAACCTCGCAAGAAATTTTTCTCTTGAGTAAGGGCTTGAAATTTGTCCCAGAAGAACCCTCTAATTGCGTTTTTAACTTTTCATAGATGCCCAAAAATTTGTTGGAAAAATTTTGATTAAAAGATTTTTCATCAAAAAAAGCAGGGAAGGCTTTTCGAACATCTCATTAAACCTTACCAACGATAAGGAACCACAGAAATTTAAGCCCAAATCCAAATTTTGTCCAAATGGAATAGGGAGTCAAATTAAAGCTTTTATCAAAATGATAATTGGAGACTTCGACAAACTCGAAAGGAATCAGGATAGAAGAAGTAAACATAAAAATCTCACCCCGACAGAGAGTAGTACTCTGATGAATTTAGGCAAAAGGAAAGAGCTAACTATTAAGAGCACTGATAATTTTGGTTTGGTGCAAACCCATTTGGTGCAGACTTGGTGCTCTGGAAAAGGTACATCGATGATGTCCTGATGATCTGGCTGGGTCCTATAGACCAGTTAAATGATTTCTTTGCGCATGTTAACTGTAACTCATTATCTCTAGTTTTTACTCCCAAGATAGGTGTCTATAATAATATTGATTTTCTCGATTTCTCAATTTATATTGAAGAACAGGAAGATCAAGACAAAGACCTTTTTTAAGACGATTGACTCAAATAGTTTAAACGATACTAAAAGTGGACATCATCCAAACTAGCTGAGGGGGTCCCCAAAAGTCAATTTGTCAGGTTGCGTAGGAACTGTAGCGACCTTGATAAAAAAATTTCGCAAGCAGGAATCCTTAAAAAACATTTTTTGGAGAAGGGCTATTCCTCTGAGTTTATAGATGCAGAGATTGATAGAGTTGGAAAGATTAATCGAAATAATCTATTTATAGATAAAAAAAGGATACTACTATTAGAAACCCCATTTTTTATTTTTATTTTTACACCCAATATAATGCAAGAGCATTTGACATACAAAGAATTATTAGAAAGTATTGGGGACTACTCGTTGAGGATGAATTTCTGAGCAAACAAATCCCTCAGGCTCCTAAGGTTATTTTCAGAAAAGGAACTAATCTGAAACAGATTCTTGCACCCAGTACCTTCCGTTCTGGGAAGGACCAAATTAAATGTATGGGAGGTTTCTACACTTGTGGGTACTGCAAGAGTTGTGGTTATCAATTTAATATTACAAAAGATTTTATTAGTACACAAACTCAAGAGAAATTGAAGATTAAAAGTAAGGTATCCTGTTCCTCCACGTATGTGGTATACCTTCTCACATGTGGGTGTGGGATGCAGTATGTGGGGAGAACGGGTAGGAAAGCAAAAGTTAGATTCCAAGAACACAGAAAAAATATTAAAAAGCGTATGTTAACACATTCAGTGCCAGGGCACTGTAACGATTGTCCCCTTTTTAATTTTAACACATTTAAATGTACAGTTATAGAACAGGTAACTCTGAATGAAAGAGGTGGGGACCTTATGATGGCTCTAAGGAAAAGAGAGGGTTACTGGATCCACACATTAAAAACCATGAAACCAAGGGGACTTAATGAGGATTTTGATTTAATTTGTTTTCTGTGATGTATTGGTTTTTAGCATTTATTTGGTGTGTACATAAATTTTACTTTATTATTACAATATCATTATTTTTAATATTATTTTATATTATGCTGTCTATTACAGAGACTGTTTTTTTCAATAAGATGTTTTCTCTTTGATCTTGAAGTCTAAAATTTTAAAAATTTCTATTGATGACTATTGATTCCCATTATAATTGGGATCTTTTTTCCTTTCCTTTTCTTGTTTTTATTATGTGCTATGGACTTATATGCTCAATATTGAGCGATGGAACACAAGTGGAACGCAATATTCACGACTTCTGTCCTTTTAGATGGGAAATCAAAGTGAGGCTTGGCCAGCGACTCCGTAACGCATCATGGGCCGGAAGTATGTTGGAGGTTGAACCCGGAAGCGCGTCATTCAGCTGATCGATTCGAGCCAAGACCGGACGGATTTAAAAGAAGATGGTCGGTACAATATTTTATGCCTGCATATAGAGAGATCCTTGCTATATCTCCCTGAAGAAGTTCCTGACTGAACGAAACGCGTAGGCCTAGTGTGACAGATCCATCTGTCTAAGTACTATCTGCTGGTTTGTCTATTTTGTTATACAGTCGTGGAATTACCTGCCCGTACTTCCCTGTTCGTTTATTTCAGTTTATACCGAATAAAACTACCGAACGGCCGGCCACCCAGAAGAGAAGTGTGCTGCTGGTTAACCTATTGGCCTCAATTAGAACGTTGTGGTTAACCGCAGACACCTCTTAATTTGAACCATATGCTGGGTGGTCGTCGTTCGTATGTCGACCTTTGGAGTATTGTTTTGCCTGTTCCAGGCTGATTCTCAGTTCGGGGAATTGGAGTGTTCGTGAGCTGCTAGTCCCGTATTAAGGAGAGAGGTCTTTCGTATAATTATAATATATAAGCTCACCTGCCACGTCAAGGCTATTGAGGCTTGCCTTGACGTGGCAGGTGAGCTTATATATTCAAATGGCCATTAGAATTAAACTAAAGAGCCTCCATTTTTGTTCAAATGCACATGGGGATTTAGGCCAGAGCGCAGGTAACGTTTTCTTTGTTTTTACTATGTATTTTAAGCTGTTGGATACTAAGCCACTGCTGCTGTAAGCGCGGTGCTTTATCTTTGTGTTTGTATATGAATTTTGTATCACTCAGCTATGTTACATTGCTGCCAGCCTTCCCACGTTTGTCTTATTAAGACTTTATAAGTATGTAGGGGCAGCACCCCTTCCTGTCTCATCAGAGAAATTTGCCTTTTAGCTGATACCAGCAAGGTGATTTGTATGTTATAGCCCTATTCAGGGTAAAGTATGTAGGGGTTTATAAAACACCCTTTCATGTCTCATTAGAGACTTCTATACTTTGTCTGATACCAGCAAAGTTTATTGAATGTGTAGAAGCCCTATAAAGGGTTAAATGTTAAAGGGTTTATAAAACACCCCTTTCTGTCTCACTTTGTCTGATATCAGCAAAGTTTATTGTATGTGCAGAAGCCCTATAAAGGGTTAAATGTTAAAGGGTTTATAAAATACCCCTTTCTGTCTCACTGGAGACTCTTGGCTGATATCAGCATATCTAATGGCTAGTGTAGGAACCTACCTATTGAGGCTTGCCTTGACGTGGCAGGTGAGCTTATATATTCAAATGGCCATTAGAATTAAACTAAAGAGCCTCCATTTTTGTTCAAATGCACATGGGGATTTAGGCCAGAGCGCAGGTAACGTTTTCTTTGATTTATATTTATTACTCACATTCTGCAGCATTATTGCCTGTGATGAAGTGCGCTTCACCATTTGTGCCTGGAGAGGACTAATTGCCAGCCTCTTGCCTTGTGACTATAGCCCCTGGGAGAGTTTGCCCTTTAAAAATGTTATTTGGGCATATTGGATTTTATTGCACTGTTTCTGCCCCTTTGATTCCATGGAAGAATGTGCCTCTTCCCGACCCCTTTTCCTGTCCATTGTTCTTCAGCAGGGCGTTGTCCCAGGGACACTGCCAGACCAGGTTAAACTGGCTGCTTTGTCCCTTCTCCATCTCTCATCAGCCCTTGCTAAACTTTAACCCCATGGCGATTTTATTCTGTTCGTGGGATCTGAGCGCTGTTCGGATATATTGAGCGCTGATATCCAATGTGGGGGTTCTGTTCAGTATAATAGGTATTATGTATTTTTACTGTTGTTGTAAATGGAGATATTCTCTGTACCTGGAGATAATTGGCTTACCACACCCACTTGAGCCACTTATCTCCAGGACAGAGGAGAAGATAGACCGGCTGCACAGCCTAAATCTGTGGAACTGTATTGGGCATGAAAGCCATGCTTGCAGTCGGTCAAAAAGGACTTCCATCTAACTTTTTAACCCCTGGAGGTAATAGCCTGAATTTTGGATATGTTTATATTTGAAGTACGCTGATTAAGAATGTGATTTATGGAGATTGGATGTATAGTTTTAAAGTTATAGTAAATGGGTAAAAGGTATAATTACATTAACCCATTATGTACAGTAATTATATCACAGGCAGAGGGAAGGATTTTGTGGGAATGAATGGGAGTGTTTTACTGTATATTACATGATTTATTGGTTGTTTTACAAAACCCTGTGGGTGAGACTGTGTGAAAAACCTGCTATAGTGTTCCTTTAAGATATTTTGTAATTTTTTTGGTTATGCATGGCACAATACTGTTAGCTATTACTGCAATAAAGTACACATATTTGTGTTCAGCAATGTCGAGTAAAACAGTACCCCACATGGACAGGTTTTATGGTGTTTTAGAAAGTTACAAGGCCAAGTAAAACACATTAAATTTTTCAGTTTATACTCATTGAAATTTGCCAGACTGGTTATGTTGCCTTTGAGTCCGTATGGTAGCCCAGGAATGAAAATTACCCCCATGATGGCATACCATTTGCAAAAGTAGACAACCCAAGATATTACAAATGGGGTATGTCCAGTCTTTTTTAGTAGCCAATTAGTCACAAACACTAGCCAAAGTTAGCGTTTATATTTGTTTGTGTGTGAAAAATGCAAAAAATTAATTTTTTTAACGCTAATATATTTTTGCATTTTTAATTTATTTATTTTATATAATATATGTTTGTAAAATGTTTGTAAAATTACATTATATTAATATTAAAATACACTTAGAGACATAGTGTATCTGCATGTATGTTTGTGTGTGTGTGTATATATATATATGTATATATATATATACATATACATTTAGATCATATATATTATATATATGATCTAAGTATATATAATACACTTTTAAACTGTTCCAGGCAGGCCTCCTACATGCACTGTTTTGGACTGCTATTCCATCCATGTGATCGCAACCTCATCGTGATCACATGGCCCGGGAGGGCCAGATCAGCCACGGGGAGACTCCCTGGGATGCCAGATAAGTCCCCCCATCGCGGTCGCGGGCGATCAGATAAGTGGGAAGGACGGCATAGACGTACTATGCCGCCCGCTGGCATTTAGAACCAGATCCCCAAGTATGCCTGCCGTCCTTAAGGCGTTAAACTCCCTCACTGTGTAACATCTACCACTTCAGCTGGAAGGCTATTCCATGCATCCACCACCCTCTCAGTAAAGTAATACTTCCTAAAACCTTTGCCCCTCTAATTTAATTTATGTCCTCTTGTTGTGGTAGTTTTTCTTCTTTTAAATATAGTGTCCTCCTTTACTGTGTTGATTCTCTTTATATATTTAAATGTTTCTATCATATCCCCCCTGTCTCGTCTTTCCTCCAAACTATACATGTTCAGATCCTTTAACCTTTCCTGGTAAGATTCACCCCAAAAAATTTTCAGTTATTCTCTCTTCCTTTATATTTCCTCATTCTGAGTACGAGAGCTGGGAAGTAACAAGAGGGCTTGGAGGCATGGTTTATAGCTGTGCTTTCAAGCCTTCTAATTAATAAAATAAAGCATAAATAAGG